ACCATCATCGAATGGGTGGCGGCCCTCCACAATTCTTTACTATTTATGAAGTTCGCCGGGTATATATTATGGTGGTGTACAATATTTCTAATTTTGATGGGCATCTTCACTTAAATTAGAGCATCTTCAATAGTGGTGTGAAATTGGATGTAAATTGATATCTCCGAAATCATTTTTATATTCCCATTTACATCTCGATAGATCTAAGTCTAAATTCTACGCCAATGAGAAGATCTACATCCACTTTTTACCTCTTGTGAGTGTATATATACATTTTCTACCCAAAAATGCATTTTGCATCTCCTTTGCACCTCTCTGTTAAAGAGATTTTCGATCACTTCGAAAATCTAAATATCTACTTTACACTCCCATTGAAGATGCTCTAAGATAAGAGTCGCACAAAGAATATTGCAACATCAAAATTGTTTCTTTCTTTTCACTTTTGCATCTTTACACGTTATTTACCTACTGGAAACAAAATAGCCTTCGGATGGCAATTCAGAAAGAGGAAAAAGAATTTAATTAAGTATAAAGTCATTGTCAAATGGTTAAATTATGATTAAATAAAGTATCGAAAAATTCTCGCTTAGCTAACACAAGACTTGTTTTTATCCAAAAAGAATACCCAAACTAAAAGGAAGGGAATTATTCCATCCGTTGACATTATCCACACAAATTCATCAATTAACCCCTCCTATCAAGGTTAATTAGCACAAACAATTATGTGTATGTGTGTGTAAATATTCATCAATGTACATTTAAAAAAAAATTATATTTTGAAATCAACGACACAAGTGATGGCCCCATCGCATATAAGCTTATCCAGGTGCACTTGATAACAAAACTAGTAAACGTTTGTTACTTGAACCGCCAAAAGTAAATAATTTGCGTATCTAATAACTAAATGAACACATCAATATTAGAACAACAACTAACTTATCAACATAAATCAAAGTATGATACGTTAACGACTCATGTTGCTCGACATAAAACTAGCCAAATTAAGAGGCCATGATGAACCACAAGTATATCGTTACTATTATGAAGGATTTTTATTTTTATTTTTTTTGCCTAATCTAGAAATGTGTCTACCATACTCACAGATTGTCAATTGAAGATAAGTTCAACGACTATTATGAAAATTTTTAGCGATATTTAACGTCTATAACTACTATAGTTATTATCGATAGACGTAAGTGTCGCATGTTATGTGACCATAAATGCTCCAAACAGTGAATAAAGAAAAGAAAGGAAGAAAGATTAGGTCCATAGAACCTTATTGTGGTCATCATTAAAGCTTTTTATGTGGATGAAAGTGGTTTGCGTCTGTACGTGATAGGTCGAGAATTTGGGTGCAGAAATTGCTTAAAATTATTCCACTTCTTCTCTAGAAAATTAAGAATACTAGTACGTATATATAATGGAATTACATAATAATTTACATAAAAATAAGGTGTCAAAAAGAGAACGATGAAATTTTTTATTTTTATTTTTTCATTTAGTTGAAGAAATTCTACTCAATCATATCTCTCCACATCATATATATATGTAAATCATTGTATAATTATAATACAATCAAAAAATTAATGAGCGTGTCAAGAAATGTTGGTCCCGAAAGAACCCTGAAGCCTTGGCAACGATGATCAATAAGAGTACATCAAGTACCCTCGTGTTCAGGTTTTTTACGTAACTTATTAGTTCCATGCGTCATACTCAAAGAGAACATCTATAAAAGACTTTTTAAAAGAGATATATTATTTTAAAGAGTCAATTTTTTTTTTAATTAGATTTCAATAAACTCTTTACTTTAACTTCTAAATATAAATAGTTAATTTTTGCTCTTTACATTAAGAGAGTCAAACTCACTTTCTATTTATATTTTATCATATGATTGCATTTAAAATTACAATTTTAATGCTCCACTCCTTAGCTTATTCCTATTGCGTTAAATATTTTAGTTATTGACATCTAAAATATATGTATTTTAATTGAAAAAAGAGAGAAATTATGAAATATTAATAGTTGGTAAAAAGTAAACCGAAGAGTTTGTAGGAGTATTAAAAAAAAAAAAAATTATTCTTTAAATTTAAATACATACTCTATTACAATCAAGATGCTCTTAATATTAAGTTAGTTAAGAAGGTCTAAAGAATGTATGATTTTACCATTAAGTCCCTATTTGTCTATCATCGTTTCAAAATTCTTTTTTCTCAAACTTATTTTCAACTACACATTCTTAAAATAAAATATTTTGCACCTAAATTTAAAAAAAAAAATCTCACTTTTTAATCACATCCTTCAAAAATTCAATATTCTCAAACTCATTTTCATTTAATAATGATAGAAAACACATGGCTAACTATTCTCGTCATGTTTGTAAACACTCGAATCAGTTTTTATCCATACGTTTCAAGAAACTCACAAGTACTATCAACTATTCACCACTCATTTCTTTTTATTTGTAATTTTAATCGTTTATAAATACTTCTCCAACATGATATAGATCATTTAAATCGCTTTCGAGAAATTCACAAATATTGTCCACTATAATATAAATCGTTTATAATCATTTATCTTCAAGTCCCTGTCAAAGTCTTCGCTCAAATAAAGTCGCTTTTCACAATCTGGCCTCCTCTAATAATAAAAGGAAACAAAACCATAGAAAACGCCAACACCCATTCCAAAGTCCAAACAGCAAACAAGCCATTAGCTTAAAGTCGACAGCATAACATATTTATTCCAAAGTCATTATTTTACAAGTTTTTACTATTTCACGCGGTTTGTGGGATCAATCAAAATAGACCTCCGAACTATACGCGTTTGCGTATTCAATTCTCAAAACAACCCCACTCTGTCTTTAATCGATTCTCTTTCTTCATACTATTTTGATTTTTTCTTTTAAATCCGAAAAATATGTTGATAACCATTTTTCTATTTGCTCTTCTTTTCATTCTTAGCTTAATCTTTGCATTTTATAACATCCCAACAACAACGAAATTTCTTGCATGGATTTTTCAATCTTTGTCTTACAAAAATTCAGCAGAAAAGCCCAGCATAGCCATGGCAGATATTAAAAAGGTCAAGACTGCTTCTGCTAATAAAATTGAGATCAGAAGTGTTTTTGCTACTTTTGACAAGAACAAGGATGGCTTTATAACAAAGCATGAGCTCAAAGAATCACTCAAGAACATTGGAATTTTCGAAGGAGAAAAGCATGTTGCTGATATGTTTGGTAGAGTTGATGTTAATGGAGATGGTTTGATTGATTTTGATGAGTTCTGTGAGCTTTTCGAGTCGATATCCGGTACTAAAGACGGAGAAGAAGAGTGCCATAAAGAAGAAGATGGAGATGGAGATGGAGATGGTGATTTGAAAGAGGCTTTCGATGTGTTTGATGGGAATAAAGATGGGCTAATAACAGTGGAAGAGTTGGGTATGGTGCTGTCTTCTTTAGGGTTTACAGAGGGAAAGAAATTGGAAGAATGCAAGGAGATGATTAAGCAAGTTGACATGGATGGGGATGGTATGGTCAATTTTGAGGAGTTCAAACGTATGATGAAAGGGGGTGGAAGACTTTTTCCAATTTCTTGAGTCAAATTTAAACTCACTGCTCGACTAGACATGGAAATGATTTTCCTTTCCAGTTAAGAGTCTCGAAAAAGTAAGAGTATCCTCTTAACTTGCCGTCTGTCAATTCTATAACTCTCTAGGCTCTAGTTTAATTTAGGTTTAGTTGTGATTTCTCAAACTCGTTGCAACAAATGCAACCAGGCTTGATTAATCATATATTGCGTGACTTTTCGATTATTTGTAACTTGTTTTATTACGTTATTGATGTTGCTGTCTGCTTGATCATCAATTTGATGATCAATGATAGAACATTAGGGCAGTTCTAGCACCCATAGGCGTGTGTAATTATGTTGTTTCAACATTATGTCTAAATGGATACTTCTTATGTCTGTAAATATTACAGTTTTATTATTGGCAGTTGTGGATCCTAAACTTAGAAGGATTAGGTGCAGGGCATTACAGTATACAAAGAGGGCGTATTACCAATCAGTTGACTCATTTTATTCAAGTAATAGTTTTCGCAAAACGAGCTCTTTACCGACACTAGACACATCTGTGTAGTAAAAGTAAATTGGACAATACCGGACAAAATTCGAAAAGAAAAGGAGCTTATGAAAAGATTTATCCATCATTCTTATGTGTAAAAGTCTCAAAAATCGATATTGCATTTGTGAAATGGATAAAATAAGCTGGAAACATATGATCAATAAGTTATATTCAACATCATATGCACAAGGATTTTAAGACAAAATTCGTACGAAACTTCATTCAATTCTAAA